ACTGCAGACCACAATGACGCCGTCCTCTTCACTGCAGACCACAATGGCACCCTCCTCTACACTGCAGACCACAATGGCGCCGTCCTCTTCACTGCAGACCACAATGGCACCCTCCTCTACACTGCAGACCACAATGGCGCTGTCCTCTACACTGCAGACCACAATGGCGCCGTCTTCTACACTGCAGGCCACAATGGTGCCGTCCTCTACACTGCAGACCACAATGGCGCCGTCCTCTACACTGCAGACCACAATGGACGTCCTCTACACTGCAGACCACAATGACGCCGTCCTCTACACTGCAGACCACAATGGCGCCGTCCTCTACACTGCAATTTGCTACAGGCTCGCTGTTCAGAGGCTCACTTTCTTAACAGTTCAATGAGCGAAGCGGTCAATAATCAGCTTCAGTTTTGCGACATTCTGGATTTTTTTCTGATGGATTTTTTTCCCGACTGCTCGGATGAGTCACAGCTGGTGGCAGTTCAGAGCTAAGAACACGTCTCTGCGTTGTGTTGCGTCCTCCTGATCGACGTAAACCACTAATTATCGTCTGCCTCAACTGCATTGCTGACCTTTCACCGCAGCCATCTTGTGAGAACCAGCGGCGCATCAGCGTCGGCCAGTCGTCGGCCGTCCAAAACTCGCCCATGTCACCTCGACAACCTCGCTGCATGCATTGCTGTGTTGTGTGTTATGATGGCTGCTGTGTTTGACCATTCAGTTGCATTCATATTGTAAGTGGTGTAACGAAACCTCTATTCATCCTCAATAAAGCCTATTGACGGTGCGTAAAAGGAGTCTTTCTAGTAAGCTCGACATATCTATTTTATTGATAATAATGAACTGTGCCTATGTTAATTATTTGCATTCTAGAATAATTGAAACTCTCACTTGTCACACCTTAGTGACGACCAGTACCGGTTTATTTGCTATTGTACAACAGATGCACAATGTTGAACGCGTTCATCACTGACTGCAGTGACCATACAGCAGGCGTAAAAAACGGCCGTGCCTTCCATTTCTCTGTTAACGTTTGTATATTGTAAAAGATATGGGTACTATCCAGAGCTTAAGAGAGTTATTACCTTCATTGAATAGAAGAGAAGAATTTAGCTGTCCGGCTCCCATGCAATGACGCTGTAAAATTTTTTGGTCTTAATTCGAGTATAATAAATCATCCGTATCCTAAAATCCAACCAATTTTGCACTGTGAATTTATTATTTATAGTTCACCCTAGGATTCTATGAAGCTTGAGTGAAGAAGCAGACAGGATTAGCCGTTTTGGTATTTTAGCAGTTTCTCATTTTACTGTAATTCTGCATACCGAAAAACGGCGAAAATACTTCACTAGATTCGTATGTGTTCTCTGAGACCTCCCTTATTATAATGCAAAAGGATTCACTTCTATATTTATTAATTTACATATTTTATTTTAGCATCCACTCTCACATTTTTTAGTCACAATGTGTTTTGTGATTTTCATTGATCGGTAGTATTTTTAAATTCGATTTTCGACCGTGACGAGCGGCTGGCTAATGAACTGGAGATGGTCTTGTTTGCTGTGGTCTAGTTTTCCTGGTCTCGGCAATTTGTTTGGTCTGCTTTGGCTCCAATGTTGATGCTTCGTGTCTGCTGGGCTGAGGACGTCGAGTCTCCGTGGCCTGCTCGTGTATAAATACAAAATGTTGACCTCATTACTCGCGGAAAATTTCTGCGATCTTGCACGTTGGCTTGCGTTGGGATGCAATTCGCCGTCAGTTGACGCAAGGAAGTGCAAACATGACACGAAGGTGGCGTGAAACCAATCAACCCTGACGTTCCTCAAGCCGTTGTCCCTCAGTAAACATACGAAGGCCTGTGTTAGAAAAAAATTATAACTCGAGAAGAACGTACGATCTGGTGCATGGAATAATATTTATTGTGACAGCATTTCAAATTAAGCCGCAACCAGAACTGTTTCCAAGCAAGCACGCGAGTTGCACAACACAGAGAATTATTGCTTGAATGAAGGAAAAGGTGGAGGTCAGGCAAATGCTTAAATGCATCTTATTGCATTAATGTAATAATAGAGAGTGCTCGGTACAAGCATGTTATTCAGTGGTTTTAATGCTGCATTTGTCCCTATACTAAAGCTTTCGCGTGACTCGAGAACTCGATCTTTGTTTGAATGCCCAAAACGTTCAGTGGTAGAATAAATATATTCAAGTCTCATACAAAGATGTTGCTTGCACCTCCATTTTCCAAACTTTTTCCGTAGTCGAGTTTTGATAGCACTTCCATCTCTTACGTTCAGCGCTTCTGTTATTTCCGCGATGTATCTCTACATTAATTTTTTTTCGCGCAGATTTTCTATTGATGAAAGAATTCACCCCGCGGAAAATGAATGATGACGTGACGTAGCCTAAAATTGCTGATAATTTTCACCTGTGTTTTGACGCTAAATACTGAGGGAGTGGTGATTGCATGGCTATTGTCATAGCAACAATGCTGGTGACTGCGAATGCAGGGCCAGCGCAAAAAAAAAAGAACTATAAATGTCCTGTATTCTGTTGAGTAAATCGAACCATTCCTGCAAACAAGTATTATGTCAGTATGAGAAGACCGGCGCACGATTGGCTTCCGTTCTCAATTTATAAAAAATATTAAGGATGAGCAAGACAAAACTTAAATATAATTACAAATACGAGTTAAATAAAAATAATAAAGTGACTGAAACCAATTAATAAAATTGAAATAAAAGACTAAGCAAAATAACTGAACTACCACATAGGTACCGATAAGCACAAATGTAAAGATAGTCAGCTACCCAGGCGATGTACAGTAACTGAAGCGAATCACCAAACCCCGGAAGAGAGATGGAATAAGTAATTACTAACTTGAATAAAATATATTATCCAATTCGCGGGGGAAACCTTAACCTTGTCGTCTACAATATGAGGGAAAAAAGCCTCTTTTTGAATTTTTGTTCCGTCGGACACCATAGTAATTTCCCCTGCCTTTATTACTGTGCAATAATAATAAATGTAGCTCAACATGGGAATTGCAATGATTTTCGGAGACCAAACGATTATACCAATTTTTTAATGTGTGGTTTTCTTTTCAAAAACAATGGTAACTAGACTTTGAAATAATTTATCAGTTCTAGTGCATGCGTGCTGCTGTTTTGTGTTATTTATACTCGGGTAAAAAGAAGGGATACATGGAAGCCACTCGTTGCATCTGAAGCCAAAGACGAATCGTCTGCTGTGTTTGTAGAACTGAACACAGTGAAGCCGTACCGGAACAAGAAGGTATACTTTGCTACACCTCGATTGTTTTGATACGAACCTCTCGATTCTTCAGAGAACGAAGTGTTTTACAACTTCTGCTATGTCATCATTCCCCCTGACGCTTGTGCTGAGCTTATTTATACTTTACTAACGTTGGAAATTTAAACTCGCAGGATGACAACTTCCACACCTCGGCCACCAGTAAACTTCTTGCAAGTATGGAGACTAAAAATTTGGCTATCAGTTCTACTGCGCTTATAAAAGCAACCGCAGTATTGAGTTGGCAACAAGAGTGTCAGTCAGGACTGACGGTAAACATGTAACTCCTCGCTATGCCACATGGAGATTGTTGATAACATTTCTATGAGGCTTTATACTCGACCACATGGACATTTGGAGCCGCGTTCGGGTGAGCCATAGCCACTACTGAGTCCATAATCTGCCTGAACCTCACAATTAGAGTGAGGCCCTGCCACTACTGAGCCCATAATCTGCCTGAACCCCACAATTAGAGTNTGCGATAGTCGAAAATTTGGGACCTCTGTTTGTGATTGTTAATTTTTTCACGTAAACATCAGCCATATTTGACATCAGCCACAATTAAACATTATTATTAAACATCAGCCATAAACATCAGACTCGAATAATCTATTCAGGTTTTTAAATCTTGTCATGCAAGCGTTGCTAAAGTGTCTTTAAATTGGAGCCATTTTGGAAATACAAAGAAATCGTAGCAAGACCTGATGTTCTAAATTAAATCTTCGCTGGGTTTCTCATCATAAGATGACGAGAAGTTCAAGTCTCATCATAAGGTGATAACGAAAGAGAAATTACCAACGCACATGACCATTTAGAGAGTGTAAGTGTTGGCTGTGCCGGCGTTACTGTCACCTTACACCCGAGTACACACGTGGAGGTGTGTTCTGTGTGCCCGCACTATACAGTGAGGTGTGTGACGCTCACGCTGTGGAGTGTTTGCTTACAAGCTCGAGTGCACACACTCATAGTGATGAGTGTGTACTCACTATGCAACAGTGTGCCTACGCAAGTCTCATCATTTGGCTGAACAACTCTCATCATTTGGCTGCGTAACTCTCAGCATTTGGATGAACAATTCTCATCATTTAACGGCGCAACTGTCATCCTTATCATTTGGCTGAGCAACTCTCATCATTTGGCTGAACAACTCTCATCATTTGGCTGCGCAACTCTCAGCATTTGGCTGAACAACTCTAATCACTTGGCTGCGTAACTCTCATTATTTAGCTGTCGACTTTTGTCTTCGCTTGAGTGACTCCCATTATTTAATTAAGCTTCTCTATTCTGTGTTGCAGGTCTGTGATCGATCATGTATAAAGAATCGAATGTTAAGACGTGTGAACTTAGACCCTCGCCCTTCTCTTATGCATTGATTGGAAACATTTCGTATCGATTTTCTTGAGATTTAAACTTTAAATCTGACATCGAAGTGATTTGCTACTGAAATTTGATGTCGTGTGAGATAAGTGATGATATCAGGCCTTGAGTTCATAGGTTATGGTGCATGGTAGGGTGATGAGTTGGTGAGACCTGGGAATATTTTTTTTTATGTTCGTCTTGTTCTTCATATTCTTTGTAAGCAGTGAAGATCTTGATTAAAGAGTGAAGGAATTTGGTGCATTGTTTTTTATTAATATTTACAACCAAAATTATCAAGTGGATTAAACATATCAGAAGGCTTTTAGAAAATGACGCTCACCAACTCATTCACGAAGACGAGCAGCAGCAACAACGTCGTTGGCATCGTGAACAGCAGTTACTGTAACAACTTCCGCAGTCACTGTTACAGCGATAGAGACGTGTTCTGCTCAACAGATTCTGTGCTGCACAACTGCATCCATCATCCATTCAATTGCAGGCCTGAGCTTAAATGCTTGCAGTGCTCCCGAAAGAGTCAGAAAACTTCCAGTTCCAGCTGCGAGAGTTTGGCTTCAAGTCATTCATCGACAACGACTTCCTTACCACGTACCTCTTCGGAAGCTCCGGTGCTTCCATGTGCCAGACCTCGCGAGAACGTTCTGCTTGTCCCAGTTGAAATTCACTCCAAAGTCACGTCACGTTCTGAGGAACATGAAGTTAGATCTGTTGTCATGAATGTTAGTGACCGAGAAACTCCATCTTCTCAAGAGGTGTTTGGAGAATCGAATACATTTACGCACTCGATAGTTTTGCGCTCCAAGTTGAAAGACAACGAATACCTTCCTCCGAAACATTTACACAGATCGAAAAGTGAGAAAATTCGCAAGCCTCTTGATGAAATTTCTCCATCATCTACTAGCACCTATTCATTTTCTAGTCACCATATGCTTTCTGATAATATCACAAGCATTTACATCAGTGGGAGCCAAAAATGCCACAACAACGTAGTTCGGTGTAACACCGACGGATCTTTCCCGTCACTAAATGAACGAATTCATTCCGTCCTTCGCGGGTGTCAGTCAGCGGATTCATTTTGCCCCTCGTTGGACCAAAGGACGATTGAAGAAATCACGGAAGTTTCTCCTAGTGAACCAGACAAGCCACAAGGTTCGCTGAATACTTTAAGAATCGAAATTGATGACGTAAATTCAATAGTTGAGAGCAAGCAGCAAAATCAAGTCAAAAATGAAATAGTCGATCGTCCTAAGAGAGTTGACACAAGCAGTGCTCCACCAGAAAATTCTACCCGAGATGAACGACTGAGGAAAGCGAATTTCCTCGTGAGGAATCACAGCGAACTTAGTTTCGAGTTTTTAGATACATCGAAAAACCCAGATCGAAAACACTTGAGCATGTCTACCTCTTTGCCAACGCATGGATCTGCAGGGACAGACGCCTCCAAGAAATGGAGCGGTTTACGTGGCATTGTCATCACTGATGAGAACCTCGTCAATAGAATTCCTGTGTTCATATCTCCTTATACGTGTGATACGCCACAGCGGTTGGTGTCCAAAGTTCAGCTTAGATTTTCTGAAGTTGATGCAGGATTCCTCTCTGTGCCTGACACACAATTGCGACGCAGAAAGAAAAGAACTCGCAAGTCCAAGTCCGTTGAGAGGCTAGGGGCGCGCGAGCCCCAAAATATGGCTCTCGCAAAACGCCGGCTTTCGAGGAGCTGCTGCGAACTACTAGTACCTGATAAGGACTTTTCTGCTGAATATGAGCGAGCCAAGAATGATAATTCTCCAACCATCGCTCAAATCCACGATTTTCGTCAATCCGTCATAGAATCCAAGAAATTGGCGTGTAGTAATATCTGTTTACTGAACAAGAATGACTTAGATCATTTTGCAAACAGCAAGACGCAACAAGCCGTTACCCAGATTGACAAATCCAGTGAAAATTCAAACAAAAGCAAGTCTTTCAGTGCATTAGCAAATAGATTTATTTTAGATCGACTATCTTTTAGGAATAGCTTATTACGCTTCCATTCGTCCGGTGACCTGGTGCCTTCTAGTCAAAACAAACAGCGGAACTTGGCTGAAAGATCAAGAAAAAAATCCAACACTCTTCCTAACAACTTGTTCAAAAGTAGAGAATATGGCTGGGAAGATACGAAGACCAAACATCTGAAGATAAATTTACAGCTAAAGAAGAACAGAACTAAAGATATTTACAGTGAATACTTCAAAGAATCTAGTCATAGAGATGTAAATTTCCGAGCCAAAGGAACGGGTACAATCATCAATACATCTTTCTCCAAGTATGTCAGCAAATTCTTCTCTTTCCAAAAGGATGAAAATTCAACTAAGAATTCCTCTGCCGCGAACGATGCAATATTGTGGGAAATCAACTCCGCGACTCCGTTCGGGAAGCATACTTGGTCCTCTACAAACGACAAAACTAAATCTGATAACAATTCTACGAACGTCGATTTAAAAAATATCGTGATTCCTCAGGCAACATTCCAGTCAAGTTTGTTTATCAACGATTTGCTTAACGACCAGGACCAATCGATCAGTTATCGATCTAGTCTCGAAAATATTCGGTTGATAAAGCCAACCGATAAAGCTGCGAAATCCACCAGCGCGTCTGCAACATCCACTAACGCTGCTGCAACATCCATCAACAATGATACCACATCCACCCATACACCTCCTACGTTCACAAATGCGGCGGCAACATCCAGCAACCCAGCTACAAAATCCACCCTAACGCATACACCAGTAAATTCAATACAAAATCTGAACGGTAGTGAGCAGACTAACAATCCTACAACAAACTCGAGTGACAGCGTCTCGACGCCCCGTACCGTCACAAGGCGTGCCAAGCACGCCAGAATTCTGGAGTCGGTCCCTCGCTTCTGGCGAGCTGGCAGGCATAGAGTCCAGGCAGCCTCGGTCGTCACTGACAATGTAGTAAGTGTCTTCGTGTTCGTACGACTGACTGGGTGATGGTTCTGTCCTGCGGTGCTTAACTAACCTCTAATTCGCTCACATGATGTCCTCCATTAAAGTACACTAACTTAACATGGTGCCGCTATAGTCGTCTTCCTAGGTTGAAAGTTTTGTATTTCCTTTGAGGATATTACGAGATTGGTTCCATTAACAACCAGGATTGTTGGATATATTCAATTAGACTTGTAATATGGTAGATAGATTTTAAAAATGCTATTCTTACTTTTTTTTCTTAGTTCATTAACTTTCATTATTCTTTCGAATATGATGGAGTTCTTACAAAAATATTACTCTTACACCAAGTATACCATCTCTTTCATGGCTCTTATCTAAGTGTTACAATCATCGCAAGGACCTTGATATTACTGATAGGTGAAAACGCTAAACTTTGACCGACTACATATATACCTCCCCTTATCGCATTATGTTTGTAAAAGCACAACACTGAACACGCCCACGGTATTCGCTACAGCGATAACATTGTCCACCCAACACGTATTAAATATATCATATATGTTACTGTTAATAAAATCAACGGCATTGTCCACATTCTTAACACAACAGAGACAAAACTCTAACGAAACAAAATATTAACCATGACAATCGATGTCATAATGATCATCAAGTATAGCAAAATTTGTGATAATTAAACAGTGAAAGTGGTGATACGAATCACTTTTTCGGAATACAAGTTATCAACTGAGACGCTATTTTGAGTTATTGTAGTGACCTTGAACAAATTTGCCCATCCAAGTACTTAATTGTCAAATTGTTATCGAACGTAATTCTGTGATAACACAATCTATCGAGATACGACTCGGCTAAAGATTGGACGCGTTGATTTTGCTATTGATAAACCTCGCAGTCAGTTAACTCTGTTGGATGTACGCCAAAATTTCTTCTGTATCATGAAGACTGTTATTCCTTAATTCTATAGCTGGCAATATTGTTTTTATCTGGACCTGCAGGTCACACCTAGGAATCTAACACATTTCACGGAGGCAACGATTGTTGCCCGTTTAGACATCACAGATTATTTAGCAGAATCTATTTTCTTAGAATAGGTAGTGGGCAGAATCGGAAGTGAAAATTATTATACAAAATTTTCAATCGAAAATTGTTTGTTTTAATCAACGCCTTGGCTGGATAAATGACTATTCATTTCACTGTGTTATGATCATTTGGAAAATTCTATGACATACAACTTCTATAATCGATTTGAAAATAGATTTTGAGCCAATCATTGAATCAGAGTCACCGGAGTAAGTCCCCAACTCAAAACAACAGAGACAAGTCATCTCACACCAGCGTGGGTCGTATTTAATGCTCAGATTATAATCATTATAACTGAACCTGGATCCATAAAAATTATTTACTTCCGTACCGAACATTGTCTGGTCAGAAAATACCAATAAGAGACTGACATTTTGCACTTGGAAACAAATTTCCATTAAGTGGCAAATTATAGGCAAGAGAACCAAGTTGATAGATTAGACGGTAGGTTTAGTGCACAAACGCAGCATGTCAAGCACGATCACGAATGTTTTCTTCATTTGCTTCGATGGAAACTAGTGAGCAGTGATTGTCAAACTAATTTTAAATACAGGCTCTTTGCTACTACTACCGTGGAAATGAAGTACCGGTAAATATATAAACTTGAACAAGAACTTGGATCACGATTTGTTTTCGTCATCTATTAGCCCTGTAATAACTAAAATGTACTTTAAATACGGATTTTAGTCGCATCAAAACAAATCTTTGTGTCTACGTTGAACACAGCATTAATTTCAGGTCCCTTGATGTATTTTTGACAGTGAAGACGCGTCTTAAGAAAAAAACTAGTTAATGAGGAAGAAACAGGACCTGGCCCATGTTTGTCTTTAGTAAACTCTGATGTGTTTTGAAAATAGATGAGGAATATAGAAATATATACACAAGCCACACCACGATTTGGAATAAAAATTTTGAACATTTACGGATAAATTGGTTCTTTTATTTCGTTCGTTCTTGCAATATGTTTTAATTCAGACTGGACGCTCTAGCGCGTGGGCTAAAATAGAAATAAACTTGAACAAAAACTTGAATCGCGATTTGTTTTCGTCATCTATTAACCCTGTATTAACTAAAATGTACTTTTAATACGGATTTTAGTCGCATCAAACCAAATTTTTTGTCTACATTGAATACAGCCTTAATTAATATCAAATCCCTTGGTGTTATTTTTGATGGTGATGACGCGTCTTAAGAAGAAAACTATTCAATGAGGAAGAAACAGGACCTGGCTTATGTTCGTCTTCGGTAAACTCCAATGTGGTTTGAGAAATAGACGAGGAATATAGAAATATATACGCAAACCACACCCTGATTGTGATAAAAATTGAGAGCATTTACGGATAAAGCGGTTCTTATTTATAAGCGGTTATATTTTGTTCATTCGTGCAATGTGTTTTAATTCAGACTGGACGCTCTAGCGCGTGGGCTGCAACGTGTTCGATTCACCGAGGATCTACCTGACTAATGTGAGCGACGTGCGTCGTAAGAACATGTCCGTCCAACGTATTATGAATCCCCAAATTTGAGCTATCACTTGAGATATAGATCTAGACGATCTATGAACACACCTCAACCGAGTTTCTCTGAAGGTCAGCTACTGGAACAGTTCTACCAACTAAGTCGAAAATCTATAGGCCGAAGTCTGCAATAGCCGTTATTTGAGTGTTGTTAATTTTAGGCTCTGTTGGCTGTCGACGCTGCCTAATTTTCCGCAATGAAATCTACGGCAACCGAGTGCAAGCAGCCTCCTGAATTATGGAGCGCTGTTGTGAGCATGGATTGCAACGGAAGTCGGGTCCAACTTGGGTCGTTGAAAATACAATCGTACTCGGAATATTGCGCTATGCATACATAACACAGAACGTTTTATATGTGCATTTGTTAGGTTAATTGTTATTAGCAATTCTTAATGTTCTGAAATATTATCAAGATCTTTCATTCATGAGATAACGCTCATTCTGCATGCTATCCTCACTCGCGCTCACCTAGGAAACGTTCGCTGGAACCCCACGCGCTTTTTGCGATGTTGACGGATTAGCGCGAGAGATTGCAACCAGCATTAGATTTGCTTATTAGGATTTATGAAGCCGTCGATCCACCCTCCTGCTGCGCTGTATAAGCTCTCATGAGCGAGCATCGATCTATCATGACGACGTCGAAGACTCGTAAGTTTCTTTGTACAGCGGCTCTACTGGAAGAGCTGTTGTCAATATCCTTCCATTTATTCCTTCTCGTCAAGCTTTTAGGTCGGCCTACTGACAAGTCGGCTTGCACAACGCTTTGTTCGAATAAATGATTCTTTCTCGGCCCACAGACATGTCGATTTATACAACGCAATGCTCTGATAAACGTATCTTTCGCGGCCTGATTCACTGGGCTGAAATAAATCCATGTTTATTGAACATGGACCGCAGTTGAACTTCGCCTTAGCTTGAAGCCTCTATAGACATACACCCGCGCGCCACCTTGCAATTTTAACCCTCTATCGGCAGTATCGGGAGCATAACTTTCAAGTGAAATTGTACGTAAACTATTGAGTGTAGCAACCTGAGGACGTTTGTACGCAACAGAGAACATTTAAAAGTAACTTTCAACTTTAATTATACGTAAACTATTGAGTGTAGCAACCTGAGGACGTTTGTACGAAAGAGAGAAAATTTTAAAGTTGTACGAGACGCAACCATCAGTGCAAGTCATTTTGCGCTCACTAGAATGGATCCTTTTTTGGAAGTAGGCTTGTGACAATATTGCTCCGTTTACTCATGTCAGGCAGTAGAGGCGGTTAACTAGGATTGCAACTCAGCTCAGATCAACTGTCTTGATTATTGCATACAATTCAACTTCTCATTGATGACAAGAGGAGGACGAAATTCTCGCTCCATCGATTCAAATGTTTTTCTTTTCTTTCAGCAAATAGTCTAATGCAAATGATCGCTGAAGCTTATGTGTGATGTGCATTCAATTATAACAATAATGTAAGAATGCCATAATAACTTTGCACATGTCATGTTTACTTATAGGGGCCATTCCTAATACCTAATCAGGCAATTTCTCAAACTAATGTTAAATCCGTACGGATAATTTCTATAATGGTAAATTGTTTTAGTCATTGCATTTCTTCTCCTGTGGTACTCAGAGTTTTGGATGTCATTAGGGAGAAAGATGTTTTCTTATTTCGCATCGATAGCTAGTATCGAATTATGAATGTGCGAATATCTCACTTATAACGCAAAGAACGATTGGAGCAAATTTTGACACAGAATCGCTGACAGGACCAAAACTTCAGCAATACAACTGCAATGTTCGAGGCGTCAGCAGCCGCTGCCACAATGCCCTCGAACATTGCGCAGTTCATGCCATTGCAGGTTATTCTGTCAGGAGGCACAGGGGTTGGTTGACTAAGTGCGTGAGTTATAAGTAAGATATTTCTTTCTATAGAACTTATCTTGATAGGGGGTGGTAGTAAAAGAGAGGTATATTAGAGGTATTAGGCTAAGTCGTCGACCGTTAGGTCGGAATTGCTCTAATGCGAGTTACATGGCAGCGTACTGGTCAGTTACTGGGGCCTTACTAAGGTTCCCAGCCCTTTTATAGAATCACGTCTTCCTCCCACTGCTGAGGTCTTGATCACGTGATGTGTCACGTGATGTTGTTTATGCTGACTCAGGTCTAATACTTTTCCGTCGATCTCTACCACGTCTAGTGTCTATTATGCCTCATTTACAGATAACCTAATCTTAAAATATAATTATTAACTGAATGAGGCGCCTCACTGACAACGGACATTTTCACTGCAGAGCTTTTACAGTTCATGCCACTGCAGTTGAAACCATTATTGCTCAAGTTGCGTTACGGAGAAGCACGCTCATATGAAGTGCTGCTCTCGCTCGAGCAGCGGCCCCTTCTCCTCATCAGTTTCAGGTCAGCGCGATCTCTGCCTAAAAAAAATATAAGTAAAAAATCCTCTGGTCTCACATGGCGCAAAAAAATGGAGGCGGTACAAACACCTGTCGTGTTGCGGCTACGCCAGGCGTATCAGATTTGTTTGATCTCAAGCAAATTAAAGGGCAATGTCGTTCTCAGGTGATACGAGAGCGCGATGTGTTGTCTGCTGCATCTTGTTCGCAGTAATGCGTTAAAAGAAATTTGTTAACATTGAATCTCAAAATTAAAATCTTGACCTATTTATAGATCGAATCAGCCATTTAATATATTGGAGTTCAATGTTCGCGTATGTGTTTGCGTTATCACTTTTAAGAAAGAAATCGAGCTACTAGATACCTGCGCTAGTATCCCGATATCGGCATTTATTTATCATGTACTAAGTTCGAGTTAATTTCTCAGCCCTGCGGGAAATGAACTCAAATTGCTCGCGGCTCCCATGGTAGCGGGCCAAGTTTTGGCCACTCATTTAGTTGTAAGTCGCCGTACTTAATCAAGCAAGAATAGATGTAAAAAGTGTATAATTCTTTCTGTGGTGACATGGTGACTAATGGGTAGCAGGGATCCAACCTAAACCATCATCATTAGATGGCTCCTATAGTTTAAAGTACCTATCCTCTATTTCCGTACATGTACACTGTTCTGTTAAAATTCAGATATGTTTTACTGAAGACCAGAGAATTAGTTTCATTGATAATTTTATTACTATATTTTTTCGTTATATCTTACAATATTATGTTACAATGTATAATTATTTCGATACAAATCTCATTATTTAAGTAGTATCCCACTTACATAATTTTGTACTTATGTCGATTCACATGCCCTTAATGCGTCTTGTAATTTGATAATGAATTTTGATTCATTTCAAGCGTTGCTAAAATATGAAAAAAAGTCTTTATTTACCTGATTTTCGATTTACCAATGCCAACGAAAATTATTTCATGAATTGAAAAAAGCTAATGAGGACTAATAAAACTAATTGTTTAGTCTCCAATCAAACCTGTTTGAAAAAAATCTGGCATCCTATAGTAATGATCTGTTAAAAAGTATGGAAGTCTGTGCATTTCTCTTGAATAATTTCATAATGTCATTCCTAGGTGAATTATTTGTTCCGCTGTAGCAGCTATTTAATGTCTGTCATTTGTGTATCGCTGCTGCAGCAGCTGTATTAATGCTTGACGTTTGTGTTACAGCTGCAGCAGCTGTATTAATGCCCGACGTTTGTGTGTTACAGCTGTATTATTGCCCGACGTTTGTGTGTTACAGCTGCAGCAGCTGTATTAATGCTTGACGTTTGTGTGTTACAGCTGCAGCAGCTGTATTAATGCCCGACGTTTGTGTGTTACAGCTGCAGCAGCTGTATTAATGCCCGACGTTTGTGTGTTACAGCTGCAGCAGCTGTATTAATGCCCGACGTTTGTGTGTTACAGCTGCAGCAGCTGTATTAATGCCCGACGTTTGTGTGTTACAGCTGCAGCAGCTGTATTAATGCCCGACGTTTGTGTGTTACAGCTGCAGCAGCTGTATTAATGCCCGACGTTTGTGTGTTTCAGCTGCAGCAGCTGTATTAATGCCCGACGTTTGTGTGTTACAGCTGCAGCAGCTGGTGGTCGCTGGAGAGCTCACGTGCAGCAAGGAAGACGCTGCGTCGCTGGCTTGCATTCAACTGCGCATCGAAGAAACTTGTAACCCCAACAACCCCTCACTAAATATCTATGCCCCTCCCCAACAACCCCAGGCCACGTCCAGCACACCCTCGACAACCCCATCCACATCTCAGGCAGCCCCAGGCACCCTTGGGGTCCCTGGGGCTACCATTCTGAAAAAAACGGTATCATCAGTTGCTTCAACCTCATCGCAAGCGACATGTGGGGTGAAGGTCACTCCATCCACTCCCCACATCACCACCACAGCCCCACCGATGCTGGTGACGCCCCGAGGCAGCACCTCGACCCTCACGGGGACCGTCACTCCCCATTTCGGCGCCCTGTCCCCACAGCATCACCCCAACACTCCCGCGTGTCCGCCTTCCCCATGTTTGTCATCCCACCACAGCATCCCCACCCTCCCCCCGCACCTGCAGCAGTCCAGCAGTAACCTGCTGCAGCAGGCGGGCAGCAGCAGCAACCTGCTGCAGCCTGCAGGTGCTGCATTCAGCTTCGGTGCTCAGCTCACAGGCAGCTTGAGCAGCACGCTCACCAACACCATCTCGCGCCGCTCCTTCTCAGCGGCCTCCCCCAGCTCCCACTGGCTCCACGTGCCTCCCTCCCCCCAGCCCCGGGTACGTACGCATCCCCCACGTGCCCCCTCCCCCCAGCCCCGGGTACGTACTCATTCCCCACGTCCCCCCAGCTCTGTATGATATGTGGGGAGTGATATAAAAAAAGCATATATCTGTGCATGATTGCAATTAATAACCATATTACTAGAAACTCTTGCATCAGTTAAAACGAGAGCTCTAACACTCTCGTATGGTAATTACCATATGAGAGTGTATTGTCGCTCTCATATGGTAATTACCATATGAGAGTGTCGGGAGACATGATACGGTGTAACTAATAATGTAACTAATATTACTCGGACCTGTCTCCTATATTTGTCTGGAACTGTGCTTTTATTGCCATCAGCCGTCAGAGCTGACGCAATTTCTGAATCATAACTAATATAATATCTCTAACCATTAATAATCATTAATATGACCATTCTAATAACCATTAATGACTAAAAATAATAATAAGTATAATAACTATTTCACCGAGCATGTTTTAAATACAACAAACCATCCCTCCGAGCATTTAAATGCAATAAACCACTTCATCTTGCACAAGCAAGTCACCATTAGTGAATAGACTCGTACGTCGGTTCATTTTAGGAACTTTTTCCGTGACAGTGACATCCCTCCCTGATCTACTTTCATTTGCTTGTGTATTTCAGATTTAGTAAATTTATATAAATAGTGACGGAAATGATATTTTTTGAACAATTTACTTTGATTTTTTTCCTGAAAAATTAGCCGTATAGAATCCTTTTCAAGCCCTCGAGTCTAGGGATTAAACTCGAATGCATTCGCTGTAAATTATTCTGGCACTGTGGAATATAATGAGCCTTATTTGCCATCGATTGTTTCTTGCTGGTGATTACGATTTGATCTTTAAAAGGCGTTCGAAATATCCACCTTTCTAACCACCGATAACTAAATCTTCAAATTAAATATAAGTTATCAATACAAAACAAAATGCAGCACATTGTTTTACTGTAAGTCGTGTGGTCGCAGCTCGCCATATGAGCCTCGAGCTATCGGCGCAGTCAATGTGTCAAGTCTTATACATAATATTTCTAAGCTACAGCTCTTCTATTTAGCGCAGTATTTGAAAAAAAACTGCCATTGGCTTCAATTCTCTAGTGAAGTGTCATTAGTTTGTTAGTCTTATTTCTATATCAGCTTGTGTTTCAAATGTGAGAGGGTGATTATGTATGCGCGGTGCTTTATTTGTCTGTAAACATACGTGTTGTTCAGACAATTGTTATTCTGCGTCTGAATAAATTCGCGGGCTGAGAATTTATTCTGCATTTTCTTAGCCCACGGTAGTTTACGTAACTTTCTTGGAGGTGTGCAGGGTAGCATCCAGCTGTTGTTTACGTTACCCTCTTGGTGGTGTGCAGGGTAGCATCCCGCTGTTGTTCACGTTACCCTCTTGGTGGTGTGCAGGGTAGCATCCCGCTGTTGTTCACGTAGCCCTCTTGGTGGTGTGCAGGGTAGCATCCAACTAAGCATCCCGCCGTCGCCCGACTCCACCCCTCCCCCCAGCCCCGGGCACGTACTCATTCCCCACGTGCCTCCATCCCTCAGCTCTGTGTTGTGTGTGTGGAGTGATATACGAGAAGCATATACCTGTGCGTGTTTGCGACTCACAACCATATTACTAGAAACTCTTGCATAAGTTAAAACAAGAGCTTTACGACACTGTGTTATGTCTTCCGTCACTCTCATTATGTTGATGTAACTATTATTACTCGCACCTTTCTCCTATCTTTGTCTGGAACTGTGCTTTTATCGCCATCAGAGCGGACGCAGCTTCTGAATAAAAACCATTATAACAACTATAACCATCAATAACCAGTAATATGAACATTATGATAACCATTAATAACTCTATATAATAATAATTATTTCACCGAGCATCTTTTAAATACAACAAAGCACCCCTCCGAGCACCACTTTAATGAAATAAACCACTTCATCTAGCACAATTAAGGCACAATCAATGAATAGACTCGTACGTCGGTTAATTTTCAGAATGTTTTCCGTGAAAGTGACATCTCCTGATCTGCTCTCATTTGCTTACCTACTTCAGATTTAGTAAATTTATATAAATAGTGAAGGAAGTGATATTTTTCGAACAATTCGCTTTGAGATTTTTCCTAAAAATATAGTCATATAGAATCCTGTTCAAGTCCTAGAGTCTACGGATTAAACTCGTATGCATTCGCTGTAAATTATTCTGGCACTGTGGAATATAATGAGCCTTATTTGCGATCGGTTGTTTTTTATTGGTGATTATGAATTGATCTTTAAAGGGCGTTCCTTCTAACCGCCAATAACCAAATCTTCAAATGAAACGCTTCAAATGAAATCTTCAAATGAAATATTTCTAAGCTACACTTCTTCAATTTAGCGCAGTATCTGAAAAAAACTGCCATTGGCTTCAATTCTCTAGTGAAGTGTCGTACCGGTATATTACTCTTTTTTCTATTTAAGCTTGTGTTTCAAACGCGAGATGGTGATTATGTATGCCTGGTGCTTTATTTGTCTGGAAACATGAGTGTTTTTCAGACAATTGTTATTCTGCTTCTGAATAAATTCGCGGTCTGAAAATTTATTCTGCCTTTTCTCAGCCCACGGTAGTTTACATAACTCTCTTGGAGGTGTGCACGGGAGCATCCCGCTGAGCATCCCGCTGTTATTCACGTTACCCTCTTGGTGGTGTGCAGGGTAGTATCCAACTGAGCATCCCGCCATCGCCCGACTCCCGCCGCCACACCATCGTCGGCACCACCGACGACGACGAGGCGTCCATCGCCGCCGTCACCTTCGGGTGGTCGCCGTCCAAGAGGATCTCGACTGCCTTCCCCTCGAGTGAGAGCTTCGTGGGGGGCGCCGGCGACCTCTTCAGGGGCTGCTACGGGGCCTTAGACCCCCACAAGAAGATGGGGTCTCAGCAGGGGTTACTGCTGCAGCGCTGCCTCCCTCCTGAGTACTGGCGGGGCAAGAACATGGCGCGCCTCATCAAGGTGGGTACTGACGGGGCAAGAACATGGCGCGTCTCATCAAGGTGGGTACTGGCGGGGCAAGAACATGGCGCGCCTCATCAAGGTGGGTACTGGCGGGGCAAGAACATGGCGCGCCTCATCAAGGTGGGTACTGGCGGGGCAAGAACATGGCGCGCCTCATCAAGGTGGGTACTGGCGGGGCAAGAACATGGCGCGCCTCATCAAGGTGGGTACTGGCGGGGCAAGAACATGGCGCGCCTCATCAAGGTGGGTACTGGCGGGGCAAGAACATGGCGCGCCTCATCAAGGTGGGTACTGGCGGGGCAAGAACATGGCGCGCCTCATCAAGGTGGGTACTGGCGGGGCAAGAACATGGCGCGCCTCATCAAGGTGGGTACTGGCGGGGCAAGAACATGGCGCGCCTCATCAAGGTGGGTACTGGCGGGGCAAGAACATGGCGCGCCTCATCAAGGTGGGTACTGGCGGGGCAAGAACATGGCGCGCCTCATCAAGGTGGGTACTGGCGGGGCAAGAACATGGCGCGCCTCATCAAGGTGGGTACTGGCGGGGCAAGAACATGGCGCGCCTCATCAAGGTGGGTACTGGCGGGGCAAGAACATGGCGCGCCTCATCAAGGTGGGTACTGGCGGGGCAAGAACATGGCGCGCCTCATCAAGGTGGGTACTGGCGGGGCAAGAACATGGCGCGCCTCATCAAGGTGGGTACTGGCGGGGCAAGAACATGGCGCGCCTCATCAAGGTGGGTACTGGCGGGGCAAGAACATGGCGCGCCTCATCAAGGTGGGTACTGGCGGGGCAAGAACATGGCGCGCCTCATCAAGGTGGGTACTGGCGGGGCAAGAACATGGCGCGCCTCATCAAGGTGGGTACTGGCGGGGCAAGAACATGGCGCGCCTCATCAAGGTGGGTACTGGCGGGGCAAGAACATGGCGCGCCTCATCAAGGTGGGTACTGGCGGGGCAAGAACATGGCGCGCCTCATCAAGGTGGGTACTGGCGGGGCAAGAACATGGCGCGCCTCATCAAGGTGGGTACTGGCGGGGCAAGAACATGGCGCGCCTCATCAAGGTGGGTACTGGCGGGGCAAGAACATGGCGCGCCTCATCAAGGTGGGTACTGGCGGGGCAAGAACATGGCGCGCCTCATCAAGGTGGGTACTGGCGGGGCAAGAACATGGCGCGCCTCATCAAGGTGGGTACTGGCGGGGCAAGAACATGGCGCGCCTCATCAAGGTGGGTACTGGCGGGGCAAGAACATGGCGCGCCTCATCAAGGTGGGTACTGGCGGGGCAAGAACATGGCGCGCCTCATCAAGGTGGGTACTGGCGGGGCAAGAACATGGCGCGCCTCATCAAGGTGGGTACTGGCGGGGCAAGAACATGGCGCGCCTCATCAAGGTGGGTACTGGCGGGGCAAGAACATGGCGCGCCTCATCAAGGTGGGTACTGGCGGGGCAAGAACATGGCGCGCCTCATCAAGGTGGGTACTGGCGGGGCAAGAACATGGCGCNTTGATGGTTGCACGCTGAGGATGGTTGATGGTTGCGCGCTGAGGATGGTTGATGGTTGTTGGTTGATGGTTGATGTGCGCAGCTCTGAGGTCACGTCGATTCCGAGGGAAGGGCCGCGGGTTTCCAGAAGTGCGCCCGTCAGTAGCTGCTGGGCTGCGACGAGGGCAGGTTGTGTGTCTGTGACGCTGCTCTGCCGACGCTGTCTGGAAATTGTTCCGCAGTGCGATCTCAATTCAGTGTGTATAGATAATTCATTTTTCTGCAAGCCATGTTGAGATGTTCAGAGTTGGATTCTATATAAACTATTTATAAGTCCTGAATAACAAAGATACGCAAACGACTCTTGTGTTAATCAAGCGCTCTGTGCATTTTGTTGTCACTATTTCTGCGATGTCCTTATTTATGCCCTGCATTGATGGCAGCCGTGTAAGGTTTCCTTTTGTACACATTTCGACCGCTTTATGAACGATCACCATTTAGAGTTGACTGTGCATTAGTTAACATTGCAGTCGTTTTATAAATATATTAATCATCCTTTATTAACAAACTAGAGTGTTTCAGGTCTGCCGCAATTTTTAAAGCTACAGACTATCTATAGCCAGGATCAAATGTCATATTTTCAACTAAGATTCTCTTTGCTCAAAAGTCCGTCCAATTTTCAAGTTGACTCTCCAGAACATCAATTAATAACTACCAGAAGACGCTTCTAGAATTAGGTAAGCATAATATCCACATGGTATTACCAATTGTACAGAGACATTCAGCCAGACATATTATATGATCATTGCTTGTTTGTATCGCATGCTCAGGCCAGAACAACGACTATAAATGCCGGACCGATCGCCACCCGCCCTCTTGAAATAAATTATGTTTATGGTCAACTGAATTGAGCGTCGGGAAATTTGCTCGTAATTTAGATCGTTCTCTGTTGCGTCGATCACTATTGACAAATATGTTTGCATGCTCGTGATACTCGTAAACGACTTGCAATTGTATTGGAGTGATGTTGGTATGAGGTCGTGGCCTGGCGATTGGGGTGCCATAAACGGAGTGCGCGACCCGCGGTTGAAACCATCATCATCTCACGCGATGCAGGCGCCGAATCTTGAAGTGTGACCTGCGCATGATGAAGGAGCACACATAGGACTTGCGGATGATGAAGAGGCGGAAGGCGATTGAAATACGAAGCTTTATACGATTGAAATGCGAAGCTTTGTACGATTGAAAGACGAAGCTTTATACGATTGAAATACGAAGCTTTGTACGATTGAAAGACGAAGCTTTGTACGATTGAAATACGAAGATTTGTACGATTGAAATACGAAGATTTGTACGATTGAAATGCGAAGCTTTGAACGATTGAAATACGGAGCTTTCTACGATTGAAATACGAAGTTTATACGATTGGAATACGAAGTTTATACGATTGGAATACGAAGCTTCGTTTGACGGCATATTTGAAGCTACAAAATACCGACGTTAACTTGAAAGTAATGCATCGTTTGTGCTTCCAGATGCCTACATTTATTCTGGCTGCGTAACGAATTCTTTTATCACGTTTTGTCCACAAATATCAAGTCAAGTACTCCGGAGTCCCTAAACTTTGAACCACATTATTCTTCTCTCAAATGGGAATTTCCCCAATGGATCGTCTGATAGACAGTCACGGCGGCATATGTCTGTCTGGACTGATGGATCGTCTGATAGACAGTCACGGCGGCATATGTCTGTCTAGACTGATGGATCGTCTGATAGACAGTCACGGCGGCATATGTCTGTCTAGACTGATGGATCGTCTGACAGACAGTAACGGCGGCTTATCCCAGACTGGACGGATCAGACACTCGGATCCCTCTTATCATTTGATCCAAATACAGGGAGATTCATGGAAATGTCATATTTTGTATTTCGCGCCAAGCAACCAGATGTTGTAGGAAAAGGGCGGGTAGGATTTCATACGAAAGGCAAGATCGTGAAGTTTTTTATCCCCCCTAGTCAGCAGCCACTACGCATTGGACAAGTGAGCAGCATGCGTTTGCTTTCGAGGCATACTTTTCTAATGGCCGTTTTGCAGCGTTGTCTCCGTCTGACGCAATATTTCGCAGAGCGCCTCATCTCTTTGAGAGGTGACCTTTGGCCGGCCCGATCCCCGATTTGGCTTTGTGTGATTTTTTATTTGGTTATCTTAAATCAATTGTTTACCATGACTGTTGCAAGGACCCTACCTCATTTGAAGAACAACATACGCCAAGCCATCGCCAACATACCCGTCAAAATGCTTCAGCGAATTGAACGCAATTTGAAGATGAATGAATGCATTGACAATGGGGACCGTCATTTATCCGATTTCATCTTTAAAATTAAGTGGTAAAAAAATTGTTAATATCTTTTGAAATAAATTCATACTATAATATCTTTACTACTTCTTTTTTGTTGAGCCTTCAAATCAGGAAGTTTCCGTGAATCGCCGGCCCTGTATCTGCCTTTTGAGCTGTCAGAGCGACAACATTTAACGGCTGTCGCAATATTTCTGCAGTGTGTGCGCAAGTCCTGACTAAATGCACCGCCCCTGCCACCAAATAAGAGTCTCTCTCCAGCTACGAAGAACTGCCGATTCCGCGTCTGGAAAATTCGCGTCTAACGACCGCATTGAGCTTCTCTGAATGAAGTTTCAATTACAGTGTCTTTCTGACCGACTTAAAGCTGCATTTGCCTTCAAATTTGAATAAAGTGGAAGAAGTCGCTCTTGTTGTGGTTGTATGATTGACACGTGGTCGGTACAAATTTACGATTCTGCTCCAAACCAGTTTGGAGAAATTTCCTCCATTTCCGGTAAAAACTTTGACTTCTGACGTTCAAATTTGTTTCATTCATCACTGATAATAGAGAATTTAAAAATAATTTCGCACAATTGTGATTTTTGCGTTAAAAAAAATTAATGACTGACGACAAGATCAGCCCATCTATTCTGTTTTTAACTGAAGATTAGACTCACCAATGCTTCAATGAATATAATAAACAATAAAATCTATACAAGACTTTAAACTTGATACACTATACACAATTGTATTCTAGCGTAGTTTCTTTGGTCTTTTTGTGCGTTCTTCCGTTTTATCTGAAAAAAATATCAATTTCTGCGCATTATTTCCTCGTAAACGCTCCCGTTCGTGTCCAAGTAACTGAAATCATTTGAGAAATTCCCCTAGACTTCTGGCCGGTAACTCTCTTCGTCATCTCCCATGTTATTGTTATAAGCTTTTAATCATCATATGATAACTTTATGGATAATTTTCATTGCTGTGTGATGAAACAACTTAACAATTTTTACATCATGAGTCGATTTATAGTTAGGAATTTCTTGCATGTCCTTCTGAAGATGATTAATTATAATGACTTTTTGCTTCTTCTTAATATCCTTCATTCCGTTTTAATTCGGTTCCTCTGTGTGGTATGGATTTCTTTCCCTGGTTACTTGTTTTTTGCCTTTGTTTTCGACAAAATTGTTTCTTCGATTTTTTTTTACCTTCAGAACTAATGTCGTTCGTGCTTCTGGCTACGAATGGCTCAGTAATTGATGAAGAACAATGGGATTTATTATCTCTAAGATTTATATCTACTGAATTTGTGACGTCTCTTCTTATTATGCATGCAATGTTATTAATAATGTCACCATATTTGATCTTTTGGATTTCATCTGATTTGTACTTGCAGTGTGGATGAAGCATAACATGAAGATAGCCGTGATAAAATAAAGAAACGTATAAATTAAATCAGCGTTCTGGCGATTTAATTTGTTTAGTTTTAATTAATTTAATTAATTTGATTTAATAAATTTCTGCAGTAAAGCTGAACCTCAGTTGGCACGGATATGACCCGTACAAATTCGTGACTGCTCAACAACTCCTGTTTCTAATCAAATTCTGGCTCGTTCAGTCCTTGGTGACATTCGCAGGCATTACTCTTCGGGACTTGATTATTTTCTTTTAATTAAATTGTCATTGCTAAATATAAACAGTTTATGTTAAGCAGAAGTTGGGAGTATAAGTTACGAAACACAAAAACTTATGTTAGAAACAATGATTCGATAGCCTTGACTGTTTAAATTAGGAGCCGAGTAATCTTGTATAGAGGACGGTCTGGATCGCATGCCACACGTAAGTAAGAGCAGGGTGGTCCAGAATAAGAGTTGACCTGGAGCTGGTGTGGGATGTGGGATACACCCCTACTACGATGACCCCATGTACACCGCCGTGTACTATCATGTGTCAGCCAATGTATGTCAAAACTACACGTTATTGTTGATATTAATAATGATATCAGTGCCCCTAGGCGATGCGATATGGAGGCTTTTCTGTATAGAGGTCACGAGTTCTGATGTTGGAAACCCGATTGTATCATTAGTTTTGTCAATGTAGGTAGATTTGAATGTAGCCACAACTTTGGCACTAACATTTATAGTAAGGTAATTTCAGTAGTAAAATATTCCAAATCTTGTAACTCGATCGTGGAACGGGAAACTCATTGTAAATGTTGAGTTATCATAATAATTTTGTAAATAATTTTTCACGTGTCATTCATTCGTATGTGTTACATTGTCAACATTGTCGGAGTACATACGCCGGACCAGAAAGTATAAACAGTATGCACCTGGAAATATTATACCAGGCTGAGTGCCCCACACAATAGTTATTGAACGAACTCCTAAAATTTGTTTAGTCATTCTTTTGTTGATGGGGCTATTTGGTTTGGTTGCACAGGACCAGAAGCGCAAGCTTTTCCACACGTCCGTTTACGACTCCGAGGTCGCGCTAAAGAAGCTCTACATCCAGACGATCAAGCGGCTACCCGCCTACGCCTGCCCCCTGCACCACGTCAAGGAACTGCTCGCTACCAAGACGAAGAAGAAGGTAAATGTAACTCTTGGGAACTGGGGTAACTCTTGGAAACGGGGTAACTCATAGCAACTGGGATAACTCTTAGGAGCTGGGGTAACTCATAGCAACCGGGATGATTCTTGGAAACGGGAAACTCGTGGCCACTGTGGTAACTCTTAGCAACTGGGGTAACTCTTAGGAACTGGGGTAACTCATAGCAACTGGGGTAACTCGTAGCAACTGGGGTAACTCTTGGAACTGGGGCAACTCATAGCAACTGCGTAGCAACTGGGGTAACTCTTTGGAACTGGGGTAACTCTTGGAAACGGGAAACTGGTAGCAACTGGGGTAGCTCTTAGAAACTAGGGTAACTCTCGAAAGTCGGTTAACTCGTAGCAGCTGGGGTAAATCTTGGGAACTGATGTACCTAATTCTTAGAAATTGAGGTAACTCTTAAGAAACTGGGGTAATGGCAGTAACTAACGGATATTCCCGACGCTTGCCTTGCTCCAGGCGTCACGACTGCTGGGCATCGGGCTCTCGAGCGTCGTGCTGCTCGACACCAAGACCAAGATTTTGGCCAAGAGTCAATCCACGCACGACTTGCTTCAGGTACGTGTAGATGCAGCGCTGGTATAGCTGACTTAGCGCTGGTATAGCTGGCGACAGCCTGGCATAGCGCGGGTATACCTGGCGTAGCGCTGGAATAGCTGCCGAAGCGCTGGTTTAGCTGGCGTAATGCTGGATTAGTCATTTTCAAACCAGGAAATGGCCTTCAACACTTAAAACGCGCTCTTCTTCCAGAAGTCACGGACACAGTATATAGACTACGTACTTTAGATTGCGTCTTGCTGCGTTGCGCATGTTATAACTCCCGCCGCGCACTCTACGCCTCAGTCCGCTGTGCCGACACTCAGCGGTGCGTGCGGCACGCGTCGGCGAGCGACCGGCAGCTGATGGTTCGTATTTATGTGTAGGTTTGGGAGGATGGAGCAACACGGCGGCGACTGCAAGTGGTGTCGCCTCCTGTACTGACCGGCGTAGTAACTTGCGTACAGGCGACTTGTGGAACAATTGCGTACAGCACGTGGCCGTGTGCGTACAGGCGACTGGTAGAACAATTGCGTACAGTGCGTAGAAAGCTTTAGCGAGATTTATTTGAGGGCATCATCAGGTTGAGTGTTAGCACCATTGTACCTATGCATAATGATTATATTATTATTATTCAAATGCGAAACTATTCATGGTGTTTATAGCTCTGCTTGAAATGATGTTTTACCGAATTCATGAAGAAATAATTTCATTTGAATGCTACTTTAACAGAATAGCTAATTAGCATGAATAGCTAATTTTTAACTTTAACAGAATAGCTGAATTTGACGATAATTTCACTGTGGACGGAAAGCTTAATGAATCGTTCTCGAGGCCCATGGCTTACGGCTTGTTTTTTAATTAAGGCTTATCTCTTCTGATGGCTAGCTTTTCTGAGCTTATTACCCTGTAAGAATCGTATTCTGAAATTAATTATATCGTCTGTTTTAACGCCTGAACTCAAGTCTTCGTCAGGAGTGCGAATAATTATATCGTTCTGGCTTAATAAATATATTCACTTATTGTGCCTAGTGAACGGTACGGTGGGAGTCACTATTTAACTCCATGCATTACTTACTGTGCCTAGTGAACAGAAGGGGTACATATGGAGTCACTATGTAACTCCATGCATTACTTACGTTCCTAGTGAACAGAAGGAGGTACATATGGAGTCACTATGTAACTCCATGCATTACTTACTGGTGCCTAGTGAACGGTAGTGGTACACATGGAGTCACTATGTAACTCCATGCATTACTTACGTTCCTAGTGAACGGTAGTGGTACACATGGAGTCACTATATGTAACTCCATGTGTAGCGTTTTCACCAACGCCTCGCCCTGCACTAACGGCTCGTTCGTTCATTTAACCTCGTGTGCTAATAGATTAATATTAACATAATAGTATTGTATAATAATGAAGTCTGTGAACTCATCGTTAGTGGAGGGCGTCATGGATACTTGCGCATTGCTTCAATATTTAATCCATTCATTGTATGGAATCAAACAATACAGCCGAAGACGCTGTATTATTTTTATTTTTATTATGGATATAATTTTTTGCAAATTAATAAATATTTGTAAAATTGATGGAACTTTCGGGAAGTGGGAGCGATATGTTGTTGGAATTTAGTGCATGTTTTTGGCGTTTATTGGATAAGTTAATTCATTGTGTCTATAGTTTCTAGTGCAGCACCTGGGGCCGTGTGCTTGATGGCAATTAACGGGCTAATTACTTTCTGTAGCGGAGAATCAATTGATGTTGTTTCAGTTGCTGATAGTTTACTTCGTAATATTGATGCACATTTGAAATAATTGATAGTATGACAGTAATGATATGTGACTGATATATGACAGTAATGATATTGAAATATGACAGTAATAATAATGAAATATGACAGTAATAATAATGAAATATGACAGTGATGATATTGAAATATGACGGTAATGATAATGAAATATGACAGTAATGATATTGAAATATGACAGTAATGATATTGAAATATGGCAGTAATGATATTGAAATATGACAGTAATGATATTGAAATATGACAGTAATGATATTGAAATATGACAATAATGATAATATATTATCGACCAATATGACTGCCCGAAATTATGACAGTAAACCGGGCCAATGTATAAGATTATCATGCGTGGACGACAGATGGTGGCCTCCATACCCTCCTCCTGCAGTGCCCAGGCTGCCCTCGATACCCTCGCGCTATTCTTACCCTCATATTGATCAGCGTCTGAGAATACGACAGCTCAGAGGTGCGGCCTAACCTTTACGGTGGCATCGACGACTGACGTGTGATGTTTTACGACTTTACGACGTACAATATTGTTGTGGGGATTACGACTCGTGCTGTGTTATTACGACTCGTGTTACGGTGATTACGAACCGTGTTGTGATGACGACTCGTTTTGTGATGATTACGACACGTGTTTGACTGTGCTGCCGTTATTACGCCTCGTGCTGTGCTGATTACGTTTAGTAAGCCACCTCTTGATGAGGCCACAATACCTGCGCCCCGTAAGAAGAGCGTTCACTAACTTGTCACGGGTTACAGCGGCACGAGCACTAACGTGTCTCGGGTTACAGTAGCGCGCGGGCACTAACGTGTCACGGGTTACAGTAGCGTGCGGGCACTAACGTGTCACGGGTTATAGTGGCACGGGGGCTCTAACGTGTCACGGGTTGGCGTGCGGGCTCTAACGTGTCACGGGTTACAGTAGCGTGCGGGCACTAACTTGTCGCGGGTTACAGTGGCGCGGGCACTAACGTGTCACGGGTTGGCGCATGGGCACTAACGTGTCACGGGTTACAGTAGCGTATGTGCACTAACGTGTCACCACGGGTTTGCGCGTCCGTCTAACGTGTTACGGGTTATAGTAGCGTGCGGGCACTAACGTGTCACGGGTTGCAGTAGCATGCGGGCACTAGCGTGTCACGGGTTACAGTAGCGTGCGGGGACTAACGTGTCACGGGTTACAGTGGCGTACGGGGGGCGGAAGGTCCCACGACCGGCTAGTGCTGGAGTTCAGAGGCACGAAGTGGACGTTCAGCGTCGGGTCACCGGCGAGCCTCACGGAGCTGGGGCGGGCCCTCTGGGGCACCCTGCAGACCGACGACGTCCTGGGCCTCAGCGGCCACAGCAACGGCCTCATCATCACAGCGCCTGGGCCAGCGGTCGCGGCTCGGGCCTCTTCAGGTATTGCGAGTAATGGAGGATGGCGGGTGAAGTACCAGGGCTGTCGGAGTACCAGGGCTTGTGTCTCTTGGTGTCAACTGTCGCTCGTGTGTGTTAACTGTGATCTTGTGCTGCTTGAATAAATATTACAGGGAGCTGTGACTTGTGATGCCAGGACCGCGTGTCGGAGTACCAGGGCCGCGTGTCGGAGTACCAGGACCGCGTGTCGGAGTACCAGGACCGCGTGTCGGAGTACCAGGACCGCGTGTCGGAGTACCAGGGCCGCGTGTCGGAGTACCAGGGCCGCGTGTCGGAGTACCAGGGCCGCGTGTCGGAGTACCAG